GGGTGCCGGCTGGTGGCTCCTTCTCATCCTCTCCCCCCCCCAAGGAACGCTTGCTGGGCAGAGCAAACCGCTTTTCTACCTGCAGCTTATTTGGGCGTTAAACACTTGCTGCCACAGTTTAAAAGCCCAGCTCCTCAGCCAAATTTCATACCACATAGGCAAACAAACCCGAAAACATAAGAGCTGAAACAGAAATCGTGCTGAAAACATTAAATCGTTTATGCTGTAAATAAATTCCCCGAACACCTGGTAGGCTATAAATTAAAATGTATAGCTAATAGACTTCTTTGATTTACACTGCTCTTTCGGCTAATTAAAAATAATTGTGACACCCCCCGAAAACAGCCCCCACACTCATACCTCTATTGCTCATGTTAAAGGTAAAACGTCCATCAAATATTTTTAGAATTTCCTTTTCCCCCGAGATTAAAAAAAACAAAAAACCACACACAACAAAAAACCCCAAACACCCAACCCTTACAGACTCAGGAAAAATAAATAGCCTTTATAAACTTGGCATACTGAAGTTTCTTCACAATTTATTACTTCACCTTTTCCTTGAGTTACAGCCCTCTGTGCCTCTTAGAGATCACCCTGGCCAACAGTGCTTGATCTTCTCAGCAATCGCTTCCAAAACTATGTTCTATCCTTAAGAAAAAGAAAAAAAATAAGTGAAATAAATCAAAAAAGTAATACCTTTCAAAAGAAATCCAGTCCTACAGAGTTTTCACTCTGCCTGCGATGGATTAGTGCTAAATAAAAGGTGCTAAAAGCAGGTGCTTTTCTGCCTTGCTGCTCTTTTTATTATGAAGAACAGAAGCTTCTCCTAATATATATAGTGAGGGAGACCCTTCTCTATTGCTTTTATTGAAAAAACCAAACTTGTGACATCACTAACCACCTTCCTATGGCTGAGTTTGCCTCATCTCTGCCTCAGTGGGCTTGGGAGGGGGGAGCAGAAAAAATGCAACCCAGCTATGGCTTTGCTAATATGGCAGGAACTGAGCAGTGCCAAATCCTTTTAGGAGACTAACACCCCCCC